CTCTGGGAGGCCAAGGCGGGCGGATTGCTCGAGGTCAGGAGTTCGAAACCAGCCTGAGCAACAGCGAGACCCCATCTCTACTATAAATAGAAAGAAATTAATTGGCCAACTTAATTTTATATATAAAATTAGCTGGGCATGGTGGCGCATGCCTGTAGTCCCAGCTACTCAGGAGGCTGAGGCAGCAGGATTGCTTGAGCCCAGGAGCTTGAGGTTGCTGTGAGCGAGGCTGATGCCACGGCACTCACTCTAGCCTGGGCAACAAGGTGAGACTCTATCTCAGAAAAAAAAAAAAAGAAAAATGAAAGAACAAGCAGTAAGTGTAGAAGGAAGAAAATAACCTTGAAAATATAGTAATGTAGAAAGTATAATCTCAAAAATAGTCAAAAAATTAAAGGAGGGAAATGGGGAGTCATTTGTGTTGGCTCGTAGTCCATAACTGCCTTGAGACCAGCAAGTCTCGCTCCCCAGCTAAGTCAGAACCTTACTGCCACTACTTAGCTGGCGCTCAACATTCTTGGCTAAAAAATGACCCATAGAGAGCTAGGTCATAACTGTTAAGCCTTAGCCTCTCTAAATTCAGATGCATTTTTAGTAAATGACAGAGAGACATGCCCATCCAGTGGCAGCAAGCGTGAGCGCCTACGGACAGCCATGGATGCGGTACCTGCTGCAAGGTGGACCCCGTGGCCACGCTGCCGAGCTGCTTCCTCAGCTCCTCAAGCTCCTGCATGGAGATCTTGGAGGCTGCAGTGGGGACGCTGAAGCCAGTGGTGCTGCCCACAGGGGCTGTGAGCTCAGCTCTTTCTTTCGCATTCTGTTGCAAATACTGTAGAGTCTGAAAATTGCAAAACTATTTGTTCATCCTAGGCTGGCATGTTTGTGTACCTTGCCAGGTAAACTGCCCTTCCTTGTTTTCTAATTCCAACCACCACATGGAGGAGTGAAATAAGGGGGCTCCCTGTCAGCTCGTTAGCTATGGTTGGTCTCTGCATGCTCCATGCCACATGGTAGCACCTGCCACATCTCCAGAACACACGTAGAAGGGAATCCTACAGCCTTCTTTGAAAGTCAATCCCGCATTCTGCCGCAGAAGCAAGCTTTCCTCCACGCTGCACCTCAGGCTCCCTGGCTGCACAGACCATGTCCCCTTATCTGTCCCTAGCACTGGTGGTCCAGGAGCACCCAGCTGCACCCGTTACCTCTTGTGGAGTGGAGACCTAACACGGCACTGGCCAGCTACTCAGTCTCAACGCTACTTTTCTCTATATCAAAGTAACGTGTGACAGGCAGAAACCCAGCAGACACTCACTGGACGGTCACGCTGCCCTGAGCTGGAGGAACCTACTGTTGTTACTGGTGTGAGGCAGGGAAGAGCCCGCAGGTGAAGCAGTCAGAGCAGGGAAGTGGACATTCAACACATGTGCAGGGCAGTAACTCAACTCCCCAACACAGGCCTAATTAGGAACGTGTGCCATGCATCTTCCACAGACACTGAAAGAACCTTCCTTTCTGACACCCACCAGGTGGGTGAGGGGCGAGGGCTGGTACAGGCACTTACCTCTTTGTCCTCTGTGAGCTTTGACAACAGGTATACAAGCGGGTCAAGGTTCCTTGTATTTTTAGACTTCAATTCATCGTATTTCTTTAGAAAGTCTTCTGGAGTACGAGAAAACTCTGCAATTTTAACCTCAAAAGCAAAAACATGAGTAATTTAATGACAATAATTAATCCACTTTAATTAATTAAAACAATTAAGCACTTAAAACAAATCTTTAAGAAAATTAAACACAAAGCCAAAATAAAGTTAAGTCAGGTAGTCTAAATAACCATATATTTCTAAAATAAACCAAGAAAACTCACCTAAACATTTTGTTAAATCTACCCATATTTTCTTGTATGGTTTCTCTTTTATGGTACTTAAGCTTTAGGTCAGATGACAGTCACTCACATTTCTTCCTAGTAGTTTGCACATCCATTTATACATTTAACTCCACTCCTTCTGGAATCTATTACTGCATACAGACTTGGGGTTGTTATGCTCAACACTCCCTTTATCTATTCGTATTTACCAAATGTAACTGCATGCGTCTCTGAACTCCCTATGACACTCAGGTAATCTGCTTAATCATCCTTCTGTCATTGCGAGTTATTTAAATAACTGATGCTGCTTAATGTGCATTTATTTATTTTTGAGATAGGTTCTTGCTCTGTCGCCCAGGCTGGAGTGCACTAGTATGATCACAGCTCACTGCAGCCTCCAACTCCTGGGCTCAAGTTATTCTCCTGCCTCAGCCTGCCGGGACTACCGGTGTGCAACGCCACGCCTGCCTAATTTTTTAAAAATTCACTTTTATAAATTGGGTCTTGCTATGTTGCCCAGACTGGTCTTGAATTCCTGGCCTCACGCGATCCTCCTGCCTTGGCCTTCCAAAGTGCTGGAATTACAGGCATGAGCCTCTGTACCTAGCTCATACCGTGTTAGAAAAAATGATTTCAAATTCAAAGTCATCTTTTACAATAAAAGACCTATGATTTTGAATTACATACTATTTAACTATAGAAATAATACTCAAAAGGGATTTCAAACTGGCTAATCCCAGTAGCTTCCACAAGAATGCCTGTGTGTCATGAATCTCCCTCCCTGTGGACCACGGAGAAAATGTGTCAGAGCCAGGGCTCGAAGCCTAGCTCTCACCCTTGGAGGAGCCAGCAGAATCACAGCAGAGCACAAACTTCCCCAAGAATCACAGCTGAGCGCACACCACTGCCACAACCACCTCCACTTCCTCCTCCACCGCCACCACCACCTCCACAATCACCGCTGCCACCACCACCACCACCACCATCACCATCACAATCACCTCCACTTCCTCCACGGCCACCACCTCCACAACTACCTCCACTTCCTCCACCACCACCACATCCACGGCCACCTCCACCACCACCACCTCCACGAACACTGCTACCACCTCCTCCTCCTCCTCCTCCACCACCACCACCACC